GCACCTCAACTCCCTGTCCTGAGCCCCCGCCACACCCCTCATGCACCCTCTGGGGGGCAGGGAGGGGGCGGAATTGGGGTGGGGCCTTCAGGGAAGGGGTTGGAACGGGGGGCAGGGAAGGGGTGGAGTGGGGGCAGGGCCAGGGGCAGCGAGGGGGGGTGTCAGTGATGAGGCCCTCGGGCCAATGAACTAGCCCTCATGTGGCCCTCGTGGTCATTTGAATTTGAGACCCCGATCTAACAAATGAAATCAATGAAACAGTGATTTTGTATAAATCCAACTTATTTACATGCATGCATTTTAATAGTCTCATTTAAGGGGGAAATTCACTCCTTTCCGGACAAAGCCTGGGTAATTAAGCTTTGTGTAAAGAACTTAGCTGGGGTTGAGTGTAACAGACTCTTTCCTTCCCCCTCCCCACCACGTACCTAGGTCTAACAGATTCTGCCCTGTGGGCTGGAATAATGGTACACCCTCTCCATATCCCTACATAGAGGTTTGGATTTTTAGATCCTCACCTGGCAATCTATAACATTTCCTTCCACTCCCACCTATTCAAGAGTGGCAAGAACTTTAACTATGGAGAAGGCTATCACCAGGATTCCACTAGGCTAAACAGGTACTGTTCTTGCACAGTAAGTCAGCTATTCCCCAAGTCAGAAATCACAGACTGCCTGTCACTAAATTCTGCTAAAGTCTGACCCCTACTCATCTTACACATACCTTCCTCCACCTTACAGGGGGAAAATTAGCTCCTCTTTTTGTAATGTAACTGACCATTTCCTATTAACATGGACTTGCAAGACTGGGCAGAACATTGCTCAAGGCTTCCATTTAAAGCAAAACAAAATACACACACACATATATACATAGTAGAAGTCTGAACTTTGCAAAACAGAGATGCTGAATTTAATCCTTGTGGGTCATATACTAGATCTGAACTTTGTCTATCAGTTATCAAATACTTTTTAACTGCCTCATCTCTTGTGTTTTTATTTTTCATTTCAGGCCATAGAGATATTGCACTACCCTGCAGTGTGATGGGAGCCACATAATATAGTAGTGCCTCTTGGGCTCAAATATTTTAGCAGGTCGTAGAAGAGGCCACACAGAAAAGGTTCAAGCAAAAAATTAGATGTATACATACTGCTCATGTGCAGTGAACTAAACAGACTCATTGCTTTTACCGGATTGAGCTGTCACAAAAGTTCCAGAAGTCCTTTGTAAAGATTCTGTATTATGATTAAAGATGTATTTATCATTAACAGATCCAGTTAAATATTAGAAATGTCATATGCCAGGTAAAGTCACCAGGAGGACACTAATTTCAAACCAGGAATCTTGAATACAGATGCACTATGCACAGGATAAGTCCATTTTACACAACTACATGCTCTGCTATGGTAAATTAGCAGCTATCGTAGCAAGTGAGGTACACTACATTAATATAATAACTTAGAGATGCAAAATCTTACTAGCTCTAGTACATACCCCTCAAAGTGCAGGACTGTTCTCACTGTGTAGAGAATAATCCTGTTTTCTGTACAATACCATTGTTCTCTGAATTCTCATGGAAGGGATGCAATATATTACACATTATTAAATGAATCTTCTGAAAGTATATTGATAAATGCAATTATAAGACAGAAGATTTGGATTATTTTTACAATGTTTTAAGGAAAAACATGCACAATCAAAACTAATATTTACTGCATCCTTTTTAAAGGAAACCTCCAACCACATTTTCATACTAGCAATCTGAAAGTTCAAAAAGCCCTTATATCCATGTACTATGAATGTATTGGAAAATAATAATTGTAATCAGAAGTGGTGTTTCTAACCCTACTGGGGACAATATCTTCATACTAAAAAGTAGTGAAATGTTACCTCTGTGTGTGATTTATATCTTTCATATTTGTTCTACCACAGCATTCAGAGCCCCTTTGTACTAGACGTTGTTCTATTTTAATGCCAGTTTAACAACATGAAGAAAAATGTTATGTTTAGTTTTGAAAATAGTTATTGCAGCTACAGGAATTGAGTATGTCACAATGAACATTGCAACCAGCAGACACTTGTTGTTACAGCTGCCAGATAAAAGCAAAATTGTAAAACACTGGGCCAGTCTTTGGCAGAACACAATGACATATCTGGTATCAGTGACATTTAAACAATAGATCATCAAATTGTCTCAAATTATTTCTGCTGATGTATTCGCTGGAAATCTGTCAGACAAAAAGATGAACAGGGACAGATGTTCTTGGTTGCTCATGAGGGGAAAATATTGGTTTTGATGGAGAAAAGGAAAGTACAGCTTAGTCATGGATGAAGACTTCATTTTCCTGGAGGTACTGGTGTTACCTGTGGTTTTTCAGATAGGACTTTAAGTGTCCTTTACTGCAGAGAAGATAGAGCTTGGTGCACTTGGTTAGTGGGTGATTTGACAGGAATTCAGAAGAGCTGACAGTTCTCCTGGTTATCTGATCCTGCATTCTTTATGCACACAGAGCTTCCACTGATGTCAATTGGAGTTTTAGGTGCACAAGGAATGCAGACACGTAAAGATTCTCCAAAACATTTAACGAGAGGAGGAGTGAGAAAGCATTTCAAATTACACATTTATTAAATTATTATTAAACATAGTTCTCTTTTTCTGAATGAAACAAAATAAAAGCTTACATCGGGCTTGGTTTTAGGGAGCCTGCCATCAGGAATGTTCTTCAGCTATAGGATAGGCCATAAACCAAGCAGCAGTCTTTTCTCTCTTCAGACAAGTATTGACATAAATGTCCCCAACTGCATGTCAATATTTTGAACACTAGAGCTGGAGAACTGAAATAGCATCATGAGTTAAAGCTGTGTAAACCATGGATAACTCCATGCACGTCAATGGAATCACACCACTGCAAAGCCCATCAGAGTGGAGTCAGGTCTGAGCGCCTCCTGCCATTGTTAAACAAACAAAACCCCCAGATTGTCTTAGCACACTGGGCAAAACAGCCCTACCTCAAAAAAATAAAATCCCCCCCAAAAACGCAACAGCACTGCCAGAGACAGAAGCTCTTCACACGGCTGGCCCAGATTATAGGGACCTGGGGCTCTGTCAGCTCAGGAGGAAGGCGAGGGCCCGAGCCAGCAGCCTGGGCATGGTAAAAGCAGGAGGTGGCCTCTTAAGCTACAGCCCTTCCCCACCCAACTTCACCCCTCACCAGCCCCTCTAGGGCCCCGGACACCCAGCACACGCGACAGGCCAGGGCCGCGCAGAGCAGGCAACCAAAAGCCTCTGCCCGAAGCCTCAGGGGCAAGCGGCGCGGCGAGGCTGCCACGGGGGCTTCGGCAAAGACTGGGCCAAGGCGACGCAGCAGCGTCAAACCCGGGCTGCCAGGCAGCCGAACTTTCCCCGCCTGCGCCTTAAATCCTCTAGTCTCCGTCCCCTCCTGCGGGAGGCGGCCGAGCACCGGCGACTCAGCGAGCTGAGCCCAGGCACCTCGCCCCGGCTCTCCCGTGTCCCCTATTTTACCTGCGTGCTCCCAACACGCTGCTGCGCGGCAGGATCCTCGGGGCAGCGGAAAGCTGCTTCGCTCCCCTCG